GGGAGGTTTCTTTACAATGTATTCTGGATAATTTCTTTTGACTTGTCTTCCAGTTTACTAATTTTTTCTTCAACCCCGTCTAGTTTTCTATGAAAAGCCAAATTATTAATGAAGATTCAATCAGAGAAGCAGAATCACTAGGAGATAGATCTACAGGGACTTGGACTTATGCAATTGTGGGAGCTGTTTAAAATAGTCTCTGTAAAGCTCTTGCCTGAGGCTGAAGCTTAAGATCTGCAAGGCAAGTATTCAGGAAGGGAAGTTGGATATAAAGTGAAGGAGAGTGAAAATAAACTGGGATCCCTAAAGACAAACTAGAATCTGCAGTAGTCTCTCACTATATCCAACTTTTATGATGTGGGTGTTCTGCAGGAGAATCTTGTGCCCTTTATCTTGGAGCTAAACATATACCTTGCCTAGAATTTGGAGAAGCTGAAGGAAGATCTGGGGGAAGGTGTGTCAGCTGAAGGTCTGGGTGTTGCCCCATATCAACAAGGTGAACTAGCAGATAAATGGCAACATGCATGAGTTGCAACAGCATTTGTTGCCTCTTCACTGACCTCCTGCATATAAAAACAATATGGCTGCTCTTCACTTCTGCCTTCCAAATTGTTGAAAATCTCTCTTAGAGCTCACCCTAACTGAAACATGCAGGAATAGGAATCCTAGAAAACATAGTGCAGGCTGCTAACCAAGATGGCACATTATGAATCCACCAAGTATACACTTTTCAATGATGCACCCATAGGTACACCTTTAACTCATACTTTAATTCATACCAGAAAAAAAGACAATAGCAAAGTCATGCCTCTGCCTATCATGATGCAACTACCCCACATTTAACCAAAAACATGCTAACCTTTTACTCTAGAAAAGGATTAAAAATCTCTTTTCCATCTTTGGGTAATGTTCATTCTTCTTCTAATTTTTCTTTTAGCTCAGTCACACTCCTACTTTCATATCTGATAACTTACGTAATAAGATGTAAAGTTAATTACTATTAACATATGCATTAGATGCTAGGGGAATGGGAGGGAGAAGATTATTATTATTTATATTTGTCTATATACTTCACATGCACATATGTGTACACATATATATTTATATCAAATTAAGGATGAAATAGTCATAACTATCACAATCATTTTTGCTGCTGGCCATGTGGCTGTAATTGGTTTATAACTACCATCTGCCTCTATGCTTTGCCATGTTCACTTTGCCCTCAGCTGGTCTTAGCTCCTTCTTGGTAGATAACTCAAGCCTTCATTTCCGAAGGATTTGGGCCATCAGCAGTGCTGCTTGTGGGGTTGTTGTTTTCTATTGACTTTAATCACAGGACATAGGATTACTTAGAATCCCTGCAGGAAATTTCCTGCATTCTAGACATATTTTTCCTTATCCCCATGTGTAGCCAGGATAACTTGATAGTTAGGATTATTCACCCCAGCCAGTATAATAAGCCCCTTCTTTATCTGATGATTCATTGGCCTGAGGAGCCGTAAGTGGCCAAATGCCAGTCTCAACTTCAAGTTTAATGTCCTGTCCCTTGATGGCAGCATTTCTACTTTTGAAATTAATAACTCTAGACCAGTGGTTCTCAACTGGGGATGATTTTGCCTCCCAGAGGATATTTGGCAATGTCTGGAGATATTTTTGGTTTCACAACTGAGGAAGGAGTGCTACTGGCATCTAGTGGGGAGAGGCATGGATGCTGCTAAACATCCCAAGATGCACAAGACTGTCCCCCACAACAAAGAATTACCCAGTCCAATGTGTTAGTAATACTGAGGTTGAAAAACTCTGCTCTTGATAAGCAGAGTCCAAAATTGTGAGGATGGGAAGAAAAATTTTGCTAGGGCATCACTAGGGATAAAGAGAAGATTTATTCCCATTTCCATGGCTTGATTCCCAGACCCACGAATCCTGGCATTAGGAGAATCAGCACTATATATTGATTGTTGATTTGCAGCATATGTCCACAAAGTATGTACTTTGCACTAACTAATACTGTAACTGAGTCCTCAAGAGGCCTTTCCACCATTTTATCATGCCAGTTGCTTTCTTGTATTGTGGTAAAATATATATGACATAAAATTTGCCATTTTAACCATTTTTAAGTTACAATTCAGTGGCATTAATTACATTCACATTGTCGTGCAACTATCACTGTCCGTTTCCAAACTTTTTCATCACCCCAACAGAAACTCTGTAATCATCAAGCAATAACTCCCCATTCCCCCTCCCCTAGCCCCCAATAACCTTTAATCTATTATCTGTCTCTATGAATTTGCCCATTCTAGGTATCTCATAAAGTGGAATTATACAGCATTTGTTCTTTTGAATCTGGCTTATTTCACTTAGTGTACTGTTTTCAAGGTTCATCATGTTGTAGAATGTGTCAGAACTGCATTCCTCTTTATAGCTGAATAATAGTCCATCGTATGTATATATCACATTTTGTTTATTCATTTATCGGTTGATGGACACTTGAATTGTTTCCATGTTTTGGCTCTTGTGAATAATTCTGCAATGAACACAAGTGTGCAAATATCTGTTTGAGTCCTTGTTTTCAATTCTTTTGGGTATATACCTGGGAGTAGAATTGCTGGGTCCTATGATAATTCTATGTTTAAGCCAGCTGCTTTATAATGATAAGGACATCACTTTGCATAGCAAATTATCCCAAGACTTTGTGGTTTACAGCATAAACATTTATCTTCTTATATTCTCTGTGGGTCAGGAATCCAGGAGCTACTTAGCTGGGTGGTTCTCACACAGAGTCTCTCATGAGGTTGCAGTCAAGATGTCTTCTGGATTGACTAGCACTGAAAGATCTGCTTCCAAGGTGGCTCACTCACATCTGGCTCTCCTCAGGCTGCATGAGCATCTCATAGTGTGGGAATAAGGCAGAAACTGCAAAGCCTTTTATGACCTGGCCTCAGAAATCAGGCACCATTACTTTAGCCACATTGTATTTGTTAGAAGTGAACCACTAAGTCCAGTCCACATTTAAGAAGAAGGGAATAAATAAGACTCCCCCGTTTGAAGGGAGACATGTTAAAGGATTTTTGAACATATTTTAAAACTACCACACCATCCATTGGGTTTTCATTTTCAGTATCATATTTTTTTATTTCTAGAAGGTGTGCTTGGTTTTTTTTTCAATTCCTCTATGTCACTTTTTACAGTTCCCTTTTTATCAGCTAGATATAGCTGTACCATAAACTACTTTAATACTTAGTGGCTTAAAACAATAACCATTTATCCAGCCCACAATGCTGTGAGTCAGCAGTTTGGACTGGGATAATCTGGGAGGTTCTTCAGTTTTCCACTGGGCTCCATCATGTGTCTGTGGTCAGCTGTGTGTTGGCTAGGTGGCTCTGCCTTTAGGATCTTGCTGGCTGTTGACTGGATGTTTTTGCTCTCCTCCACTTGTCTTATCCTCCACATGTCTCTCACTTATCTTCAGCAAGGTAGCCTGGGCTTGTCCTGGAGGAAGCAGAAGGTCAAGAAAGAGAGCAGACACATACGGAGCCTCTTGGGGCCTATGCTTGGAATCCTCAGGCTATTTCTGCTGCATTCTGTTAAGTGAAGCAGGTCACAAATTCAACTCAGATTAAAGAGGAGGTGAAACAGACTCCACCTCTTGGTGGGAGGAGCCTCAAAGTCATGTTTTGAAGGATTTGCATATAGGGAAGGGTGGAGAATTGGGACTATTTTTGGAATCAATCTACCACAACCATATGTAGCCTTTTATAGTCTTTATCTGAAAATGGTAGTGTCTGATGCCTTTGCAGGTCAATTTTTCTTGTTGGCTGTTTTTTTACCCATCAATTTAATTTCCTATTGTGGCCTGGACAATTTCCTTTTGCTGTATGCTGGATATTTTATATGAAAACTCAATAATTTGAGTTCTGTAATATAATACTTTCCTTCAAAGAAGGGGTACTACCTTAATTCAATTTTCCTCTCAGTTTTTAGTAATGATTCACATACAAAAGAAGGTGATCGCCTATAATATAAACAACAGGGGAGAGCACAACTTCCCTCAGGAAGGTGTCTGGCTTCAAAGAACTTCCCTTCACAGTGGGTTCCCCCTGCTGGTTGCCAAAAGGTGGCTCTGGATATGGTGGAATCTACAAACTCATCATTATATTTTCATTAAAAAAAAAAAAATCAAGAACTTCCTTTCACTTGTCTGCGACTTGGACCCTGATTCATGCCAGGAATCTAACTGTCCCTCATTTATAGAAGCAAGTCAAGTTCTCAGTCATTGGCCTAACCCACCGTCTGAGCCTTCCTCCCTGTTATTCCTCTATACTAGCATTATATTAAGCAAAACTGAACAGTTCCCTGTTTTCCAAATGTGTACTCTATTTTCCCGCCTTGATACAATTCTCTCCACTTGGGATGTCCATTTACCCCTAACTCCATCTCTTCTTAGGGAAATTACGTCAAGATCGAGCTCAAACATACCCCTTTCAAGAACCCTTCCTAACCAATGTGCTTTTTTCTTTTCGAATCCTCTTAGCCCGTGGTACTTTTTAATGGACTTTCTGCCTTAAAGTTACGTGTTTATTTGAAGCTCGTTAGATTGTAGAGACTCTACAAGTCACACGGCCTGCTCACACCTTTGTTTACTCATCTGACAAACGTGGAAGGGACTAGCACAAACCTTCCAGGGCCAGTATGAGGCGGATCAGGTGAGCTAAAATGTAAAACGAGGCCTGTCATAGTCAGTGCTCAAATCAATGTTAGCTACTGCTACCATTCCTTAGAAGCATTGTGATTTCGATCGAACAGTTTTCACCGAATTGAAAGAAAGGATAATTCGAAGAACTAAGCCTGAAAACTCTACCAAATATTTGAAACAATTGATCAAAAACCCCGTCGCAAAGAAAGCAATTACAGCGGCGCCTGCGCAGAGCTCCGGAGGACCCGGAGAGAGCGGGCGTGCGCAGAGAGGGGCAGGGGGCGGGGCGTGCGCGGGGCGGGGGGCGCGTGCGCGGAGCTGCCCGCGGCCCTGTGCGCGGCGCTGGGTCCCTCCTCCTCACGCTGTGGTGGTTACCCTGTAGCTGTCCGGTTCTCCAGAGGATGATGGATTTTGAGAATCTTTTCTCCAACCCCCCCAACCCGGCCCTCGGCGGAAAACTGGCCACGGACTCTGACGAAAGGTGATCCCCGTCTTTTCATGCCTTGGTCGCAGGGGCCCCAGCTGGGTTCCGCGTCTTGGTTCCGTCTGGAGCCCGCCGGGCCACGTCTGGGCCACGCCGCGAGGTCCCTCGGGGAGCGCGTGGGGCCGTCAGGGCCAGCGCGACAGTCGGACATGGAGAGGTCCTTCGGGGTTGGGGGGATAGGAGCCGCAGTTGGCGTGCAGTTCGGGGGCCGCCGCGGCCGGAGGTCCCCGGAGCCTGGGCGAGAGGAGCGGCGGGGTCCAGGCAGCGATCGGGGCGAGGCGAGGGAGGCTCCAGGATGCCGCCTGTCCTCGCGCTGCGGCCCCTCTGCGCCTGGGTAGGGTCCGCCTCCGTGTTCCCATAGCACCTGTGCTTCCTTCCACCAGACGCTACGCTCCTAGAGGGCATAGATCACTTGTCATTTCTCGCTGACACGTGCTGGGCACTTTAATGTAGAAAAGACGAAACCCTGAGTTCATTAAATGGTGAAGGATAAGTAGTGAGTAGTCTGCCTTTAGTCCACTGATTTGTATCAAAAGACCGTAAAGACCATAATAAAGCAGCAACACGTTTTGGATTTAACATCTCCTTCAGCTTGAAAATGGAACTAGGCCTAATGGCGCCAATTTATTGATCTCATACTTGGCGACAGGTATAGTGTAGTTTGTTTATAGCCAGATAGTCATTGTTGTTGTTTTTTCTGAGTTTGAATTGCTAAAAACCATCTTTTCTTCTAAGCCTGGGTCTTTGCCCCAATTTCCCTAAGCCGTAACCGTGACACACATCCTTTATTTCTCTCATCCCCGGTATATGTTATTCTGGTTGATTTTATCGCTCGATATTACTTAAATCTGTTCACTTCTCTCCGTCTTAAATACCTGAATTGAAACTCTTAATTTAGGCTACCACCACTACTACGTGCTTTGCCTGAAGTGTGTTATTTAATCTTCACCAAACCTTTAAGAAAAGATATTATCCTCATTTTTGCAGTTGAGAAAATTGAGGCGCAGGGAGGATAACTTGCCAAGATTACACAGTGTAAGTGGCACAAATAGGATTCAGTTACCCAGACAGACTTACTCCAGGATCCATGATTTCATCACCATGCTTCTAAGGCAAAATGACTAAAATAAAATAAGACCTATAAATATTGAAAAGAGACAAAAACACTCATTGCTCACAGATGATATCATCATCTACAAAGAAAAACAAGAGGAACCAATTAATAAACTATTACAATACAATAAAAGATGAATTCTGAGTGCAAAGTGAATCATCATCAAGAAGACAGTAGCAGCTATCAGTTTGAAAATGTGTTGGACAGAAGATTACAGTCACAAGAATTTTACTGGACTACATAAAAGACACTTTTGGATTTTTGTCCAAATGTTAGGTGAAGAGTGGTATTGAAGTATGGTGAGCATCTGTGAACTGTGTCTTGTTCTTATGCTTTGCCCATTTTCTCTTCCTTGGTCTTTCTCGTTAAAATTTTAGAATCTCTAGTCTGCAGATATTTTACCCCCAATTTGTGATTTGTCTTTTGACTTTGCCTGTGGCATTATTTTCAGTGCATAAAGATTTTTTGTTTTAAATGCAGTCAGATGAATCAGTCTTTTATAGTTTCTGGGGGTTTTTCCCTAGTAATTTTATGATGGGACTACTCATTTATTGAGCCTCTGCTATGTATGAGACATTATTCTAGGCCCTGGGGATGTAGCAATAAATAAACAAAAGAGATAAAAATTCCCGTACTCATGAGATTTTTATTCTTGGGGCACAAACAATGCCTAAATGTATAGTAATTTAGGTGATGATAGATGCCATGGAGAAAATGAAAGCCCGGTAGGGAGGTAAGAAGGGAGGATGGTATGGTAGGGAGGCTATGGCTGTTTTAAAGAAGGTACTTAAAGCCTCACTAATAACATTGATAAGTAACATTTGAGTGGAGACCTGAAGGAGATGAGGGAGGTTGACATCTAGTGAGGAGAGTGTTCCATATAAAGGTCCTGAGTTGGGGTGATTGGGTGGTGGGAGCAAAGTAGCCAGAAGGACAACTGGAGTGGAGTAAGAGTGGTAGGACTTGAAGAGAAGTAGGCTTGGGAACGGGGTAGGGCAGGCAGATCATGTAGATTATGGCATCTTGTAGGTGCTGTAATAAGGACTTTAGCTTTACCCTGATTGAGATGAGAGGCTGTTGGAGAGTTTTCAGCAGAGTGACATTTTAGCAGGGTCATTCTGGTTGTCTTGAGAGTAGAATGTAGAGGGGCAAGAATCACTTGGATCATAGTATTAGTGGCAAGAAGTGGTCAAATATGGACATGTTGAAGATAAACTAGATTTCCTTGCAGACTAGATGGAGGAGATGAGAGAGCAGTCAAGGTGAACTTCAAGGTGTTTGATCAGTATCATTAGAAGGATGGAGTTGCTGTTTAAGAGAGCAGGAGGATTAGATCAAGAGTTCAGTTTTGGATATATTAAGATTATGTCTAGTAGATATTCAGGTGGATATGTTGAATAGGAAGTTGGCACTGCCTGCTTGGGCTCAAATCTCAGTTCCACCATTTACTGTCTGTGACAAGTTACATAAGCTTCCCATAATTCAATTTTCTCATCTGTAAAATGGGCTTTTTAACAATAGTGTGTATGTCGTAGGGTTGTTGTGATATGTATAATGTGCATGGAACAGCACCCGGCACAGTGTGAGCATAACGCAAGTGTTAGCTGCTGCTGTTATTGTTGTAGTCATGATTACTCTAAGGAGAGGTTGCTTCTTATTCCGTAAGATGATTCATTACTGAAAACTAGAGTGATGAAGGTGCACAGTGTTTATTTTATTGGCTCTTGAAATGATGGCTTTCCGTAGAAGGCTCACAACTTGGTACCTCATCTGAAGGATGTAACTCTGAAGCTCTGCCTCGGGACAGATCACTGGTAAACTGCTGCATTGGATGAAGCTGTGAAGCCTGAGTTCCTCTCTAACTTTGAAAGAAGCACAAAGCCACTGTTCACGTTCTTGTGCTGGCAGTGCTTTCTGTTTGTAACATGTTCTTTTGAGAATGTACATGTTGCCTGGTCCTTGCCTTAATCTGGCATATAACCTGTATCTTAAGCTTTTATTCAGCAGTCACTACTTGCTGAGACACACTTGTCTTATTTCCCATCTTCATCTTTTTGGGTTCATTTTTAGTTTTGCTGGAATATCCAAGTAGTTGTCTCAGACAATGTCTATGCATGTTCAACTTCTCAGTCCTTGTGAGTCTGAAAACAACTTTTCTTTTTCATCTCCCACTTGCATATAAGTTTGGCTCTCTCTTGACCTTGGAAGGCATCCTGTGTTCTACCTGAAATGCTCTTCTCTCTCATGTTCCTCTCGTTTGCTAACTCTTACGTATCTTTTAGGTTCAGCAAACCTCTGGCCCCCAAATCTTGGTTAAGTGTTCCTCATATATGCATGTGTACTTGTCACACTGTATCGAAATTGTTTTCTTTCTTTCTCTCAAGCAGATAGAAAATTCTCAGAAGGCAGGGACAAAGTCTGTCTTTTTCATTGCTGTATCCCAGGATTTAAGGCCCAGGGCCTGGTATCTGGTGGACATTCAGTATTTGTTAATGAATGGAATGATGAATGAATGGGCAATTTATATAGCTGCTAATACTTTAACATTAAGGTTATGTAATCTAAAATTTCAACTTTACTGTTTACTTATAAACATATTTTGACATTTACTGCTCATCATAATTTTGTACCTTATTTCTCTGGAGTATTTGGAGTAGAATTTGAATTTGGAGTTTCTTTGAGGGCAAGTTGAAGATAAGCCGAAGCAGTGAATTTTAATGCTGTGGTATGAACCCTTTTCAGGTTGAAAAAACCCTCTTGTGTTATTTGATATTTTTGCTACAGAATCGATGATGAAATAGATGATACAGAAGTTGAAGAAACACAAGAAGAGAAAATAAAATGGGAAGTAAAACTGGAGTGTGAGCAAATTCCCAAAAAAGTAAGATTAAGTTGGCATATTGAAAAAACAGACAGGAATGGATGTGAGAGATTTATTAGGGATCCTATATTGTCTCATTTTAGTCAGCACTTGAGACCCAGTTACTTATCAAGGAAACCTCGTTACATTTTTGAAAAAATTTATCATTCAAGAACTTTGTTGTCATTTAACTTGAACTGTTTTTAGTGCATTGCTTTTTTTTGGTTTTCCCTATTTCTGAAATGGGTTGTAAACTGTTTCAAAAACTTCTTCCTGTTCAAATTAGATCAAAATTTTTAAGGATTTTCATTTACTAATTTAACTAACTTTACTGATTTATAGTTTAAAGCTTGTGTTAGTTTGCTAGGGCTGCCGTAACAAAGTACCACAAACTGGGTGACTTCAACAGAAATTTATTGTCTCATGGTTCTGGAGGCTAGAAGTCCAAGATCAAGGTGTTGGCAGGGTTGGTTCCTCCTGAGCGATGTGAGGAAGAGTCTGTTCCATGCCTCTCCCCTAACTTCTGGTGGTTTGCTGGCAATCTTTGGTCTTCCTTGGCTTGGCTTCCAGAAGCCTCACCTTGATCTTTAACTTCATGTTTGAGTGGCGTTCTCCCTGTCTGCATGTGTCTGGGTCTCAATTTCCTCTTTTTTAAAAATTAAAAAAAATTTTTTTTATTTTGAGGAAGATTAGCCCTGAGCCAACATCCACTGCCAATCCTCCTCCCCCTGCTGAGGAAGATTGGCCCCGAGCCCACATCCTGCCCATTCTCCTCCCCCCAACATGTGGGACATCCGCCACAGCATGGCCCACCAAGTGGTGCCATGTCTGCACCCAGGATCCGAACCGGCAAAGCCTGGGCTGCCAAAGCGGAACATGTGAACCCAACCTCTGGGCTACCAGGCCGGCCCAACAATTTCCTCTTTTTATAAAGACACCATTCATATTGGATTAGAGCCTACTCCAATGACCTCATCTTAATTAATTTCACATGCAAGGGCCCTATTTGCAAATAAAGTCACATTGTAAGTACTGGGAGTTAGGACATCAACATAAGAATTTTGGAAGGATACAGTAAATCTATGACAAAGCCACTATCTGCTCCTCTTGTCTCTTTTTCGCCCTTTTTTTTTCTCCTGCTTCTCCCAAAAGCCCCCCAGTACATAGCTGTATATTTTAGTTGTAGGTCCTTCTAGTTGTGCTATGTGGGACGCCACCTCAGCATGGATTGGTGAGTGGTGCCATGTCCGCGCCCAGGATATGAACTGGTGAAACCCTGGGCCGCCGAAGCACAGTGCGCGAACTTAACCACTTGGCCATGGGGCCAGACCCTCTTTTACTTTTCCTTTTTTTTTTTTTTTTTAAAGATTGGCACCTGAGCTAACAGCTGTTGCCAATCTTTTTTTTTTCTGCTTTTTCTCCCCAAATCCCCCTAGTACATAGTTGTATATTTTAATCGTGAGTCCTTCTAGTTGTGGCATGTGGGACACCGCCTCAGCATGGCCTAATGAGTGGTGCCATGTCCGCGACCAGGAGCCCAACTGGCGAAACCCTGGGCAACCGAAGCGGAGCGGGAACTTAACCACTTGGCTCGTGGGCCGGCCCTTTCTGTTTTTTTAATTGTGAAATTTAACACATTACAAAAGAATGGGTTTGAATTGGCAGTGCCTCTCACAAGACGCAAGTAGGCTGTAATATGACACTCTTATACTTTGCTTTATAAAAGGATACAGGACAGAAAAATACAGCACGTACAGCATCTTCCTGTCCTCAGGAGGCCTCTCAGCTAGACAAGTATGTAACTTCTTTTGCCCTTTGGGGCATGTATGGCTGCTGTGGACAAGAGCTGAGGTTGACGCTGAAATTGCAGTTTAGATGTCCCACAAATTTTTTTATGCTGTTTTAGTCACATGGGCCCCAGTCCTTCATGCCCCCAATATAAAGTCCCCCAGTCCACGTATAACCCCATACAGGAGATAGACAGATACAGCATTCTGTGATTATTTTAAGTTTTGAAGAAACAGTACTGTGAGAAGATAGTCACCTACATGATTCCTAAGTATACTTGCTTCAGGCGAGGCTCTTTGCTTACAAGTACATAAAACATCAATGGATAGTGTCACAGCTAATTAAAAAGAGAACACCCAGGTAAACACTTTGTAAGTCAAGAAAGCACATTACCCACAAAGCCTCTATCTATGCCTCCTTTCTCAGTCATATCCCCTTGTTTTCTCCTAGAGATAACTACCATCCTAATTTATATACTGATCACTTCCTTGATCTCTACAGGTTTACTACTAATGCTGTCATCCTTAAGAATACAGTTTTTTCTTGCCTGCTTTTTGCACTGTATGTGTTCTGTTCGTCTTTTTCTCAACATTATATTTATAAGATACATAGATATTGTGGTATATACTTGTTTGTTTTCTTAGCTGCATGGTATTTCATTATTTGAATGTACTGGATTCTCTTGTTGGTAGATACTTGGTCTGATTCCCAGATTTGGAGGTTATGGGTAATGCTGCAGCATTCTTTCAGTTGTATCCTGCTGCACATGTACTCTGCATTTACCTAGGGGAGGAACTGCTGAGTCCAAGACAATAAGCATCTTTACCTTTACTGTAATGTCGCACTGTATTCCTGGGTGGTTCTACTGATTTTTATTCCCAGAGGCAGTGTATGAGAGACTGTTTCTCCTGCTCCACACGTGATATTGTGACCTTTGTTATTTATTGCTGTCTGGTGAGGTATGTCATTGTAATTTGGTTTGCATTTTCATGATTGCTATTGAGATGGAGTATTTTTTCATATATTTGTCCATTTGGATTTCTCTTTTTTTGTGCCTGTTCAAGTCTTTTTTGTCCCTTTTTGTTTGTTTGTCTGTGGTTGTTTTTTTCTTGTAGTTCTTTATTCTGGATATAAGGGGATTTTTCCTTTCATTGTGGATTACGTGTTGTAAATATCTGCTCATTTTGTAGTTTTCTTTCCACTCAATGGATTTTTTTTTTTTTGAGGAAGATTAGCCCTGAGCCAGCTACTGCCAATCTTCCTCTTTTTGCTGAGGAAGACTGGCCCTGAGCTATGCCCATCTTCCTCTACTTTATATGTGGGACGCCTACCACAGCATGGCTTTTGCCAAGCAGTGCCATGTCCGCACCCGGATCCGAACCGGTGAACCCCAAGCCGCTGAGAAGCAGAATGTGCAAACTTAACTGCTGTGCCACTGGGCCGGCCCCTCTACTCAGTGGATTTTCTGATAAAAAGTTTCTAATTTTAATATATTCGTTTATTAATCTTTTCTTTTGTAGTTAGCGCTTTATGTGTTTTATTTAAATATCCTGAGATAATAAAAATATTTTCCTACAGTGTCGTCTAAAAGCTTTAATATTTTGCCTTTTGCATTTAAGTTTATAATCACTTAAATTGACTTTATGGTCACTTTAAATTGATTTTTGTGTATATGTATACAGTGAGGTGGGGGGACCAAATTTTATTTTACCTTTTTTTTTTCCATTATCCTACACCATTGTTCCAGCACCATTCATTAGGGGAAAAGAACTGTCTTTTCCCTCACAGGTGTCTAGTGTCACTGTTGTCAAAAACCAAGTGTTCGTGTTCAGGTGGGTCTGTTTCTGGACTGTGTTCTCTGGCACTGGGGTATTTGTCTCTTCCCCCAGGACCCCACTGTGTTAATTACTACAGTGTTATGATGAGTTTGGAAATCAGGTAAACAAGTCCTCTCACCTTGTTTTTCTTCTTTAAGTGTCTTGTCTGTTCTTAGCATTTCCATATAAACTTTAGAATCTCCTTGCCAAATTCCACAGGACATCCTAGTGGGATTTTCATTGGGAATGCATTGAATCTATAGATCATTTGGGGGAGAACTGAGATCTTTAGAATATTGAATTGTGCAATCTAAGGTCCTCTTTAATTTCTCTCAACGGTATTTTATAATTTTCTTTGTAGATGCCTTACATCTTATATACCTTTTGTTAGATTTATTGCTAGCTGTTTGATGAGGCTACTGTAAATTATATCTTTTTTTGAGTATTGTTTTCTAACTGTAGGTTTCTTATTTGGCTGATGTACACTGTTATACAGGAATGCATGGAATTAAACTTTTGAGTTCTTGTTAACGTTTCTGAAAATATCTTGAATTTATCCTCATAGTTGATAGGTAGTTTGGCTGAAATAGAATTAAGTTTGAGATTGTTGCTCCCTTTTCTTCTCCTATCCAGTGTTGCTGACGTGAAGTCTTACCAATCTGCTTCTAGTTCCTTTGTAAGTATCCTGTTCTCTCTGGAAGCTTTTAGGTTCTCTTTAATTCTTGGTGTTCTTAAAGATTGTGAATCTTTCTTCATTCATTGTGCTTAGTATTTGGTGAGACGCTTCACTCATACTCTTCATATATGAGGCATATCTTTTCTTATTTTTATTTTCTTTGTCTTTTTTCTTTATATTTAAGAAAGTTCCTCTATTTCTACTTTTCTTTATTTTGTAAATCGTAATTTTACTATTAGCGTTCTTTCTTGTTCTCTGTTTTGTTGTTTTAACTTTCTAGGATTTTTTAAGATATAATAACATCTTGAATATCTTTGGGTATTTTTTTTTTTAATTTTTGAGTTCTTTTCTTTCGCTTGAATCATATTTGTTTCTTCTGGATCAGTTTTTCTCTTTTTTTTCCCGCTGCTTTTTTGTTTTATTCTCCAGATGAGGAGTCAGTAAACATTTTCTTTAAAGGACAAAATAGCAAATATTTTAGGCTTTGCAAGCCAAGAAGCAAAATTGAGGATATCATGTAATATAATATAATGAGAGAGAGAGAAAACAAATTTACACAACTTTTTTATTGACATAATTTAACATATAATAATAATTGAGTTTTTGTAATATGGATTTACTAATGAGAAGAATGGGATTCTTCTTTTGGGGATAATAATTTAATTGGAGTTCAAAGTTAGTGTTCCTTATCAAAATTGATTGCAAAGATTCATCTGTTAATGCTCATCTGTAATTAGAGTCTATACATTTCAGCTTTCAAGATGTCTTTTCACTACAGATAGTTCACCAGCTAAATACTCTTATTAGTTCACCAGCATGATTTTCATTGAATGTATTCATTGCTTGGAAGGCATTTGTAGAATTTTATTAGATTCTTCTCTTGAGGTTTGTCTCTTAGCGTGTCATTACGTTGCAGATTAATCACTCCAGTTGAGGGTTAGGTAGTAACTCTGCAGTTGCACAGTTAAATGGATTTTGGAATGGCAGTTTCCTTTGCTCTTGCCTTAAAGTCTGAAAAACTCTGCAGGAACTGTAGTTTGAGCCTGGAAACTATATCTGCTGCAAATTTGTGTGGGAGTGGAGGTCTTGCTTCTAGTTTTAACTTTGGACAGCATAGTGATACTGAGCAGAATCAGTAACATCTGTCCACTCATCAAGAGCCAAGGAAAACAACTTGATATAATTCTTCTTCTTTCTTTAATTATCTAAGTTTCTCCAGATTGCCTCCTGTCTTTGAGCACCTGCTCTTGCCAACAGGCCAATTGTCTTAAACAGCTTTATTTTCTCTGGAAATTTCTTCAAGTGCTATAATCAGACATGATTTAATTAACTCACCATCAGCTTCTTTGATTGGCAAACAAGTGAGCCACTCAGAAAGTTACTTTGCAGCCTCTTTTTCATTTTTTATTTTTGTAAAGAAATAATTCTGTGGTGAGATATTTTGTTTATGTTTTCAAATTTTTCTGACCACTGCTTTCCTGTGAGTTGGGACTATTGTGATGAATGCTTAATACTGTAATGTCAACATATATTATGTTCTTTCAGCACTACTGTAGTATCATTACCTAATAACCATAATGCTTTTCCATCTAATTTGACAATAAAATAATCTTCATTGCACTGTACCCTAAATACATGGCATTCAAAGCCTTTTCATGTTTTGACATGGTTGGTATGCACTGGTAATGAAAAAAAATGACATGGCATGGTGATATGTGAGGTACTCAAAATGCTGTCAAGTTATAACTGTCATTGAAATTTATAGTGCACTCAGCATCAGTGTAAAGTGATGAGAGAGCTATAGCCATATATGGTCTCTTTTGCAGTTACTCTGCTGTTGTAGTGTGAAAGCAGCCTGTATAATATGTAAATAAATGAGCATGGCTGTATTCCAATAAAACTTTATTTATGGATGCTGAAATGTGGATTTTATATAATTTTCGTGTGTGTGGATAGGTAGGTTTCCAGCAGCATAGTAATTCTTAACCTTTGTGCTATGCATCCCCTTTGGTAGTCTGGTGAAGCCCATTGGCCTCTTCTCAGAATAATATTTTTAACTGTATAAAATAAAATATGTTGGATTACAAAGGAAATTGATTTTATTGAAATACAGTTATCAAAATATTAAAAAGCTGGGGCCGGCCCCGTGGCCGAGTGGTTAAGTTTGTGCTCTCTGCTTTGGCGGCCCAGGGTTTCGCTGCTTCAGATCCTGAGTGTGGACATGGCACCGCTCATTAGGCCATGTTGAGGTGGTGTCCGACATACCACAACTAGAAGGACTCACACCTAAAATATAGAACTATGTACCTAGGGGATTTGGGGACAAAAAGCAGAAAAAAAAAAAATATATTAAAAAGCAAATGCGGGGGCTGGCCCCATGGCCGAGTGGTTAAGTTCGCGCGCTCCGCTGCAGGCGGCCCAGTGTTTCGTCGGTTCGAATCCTGGGCGCGGACATGGCACTGCTCGTCAGACCACGCTGAGGCAGCGTCCCGCATGCCACAACTAGAGGAACCCACAACGAAGAATACACAACTATGTACCGGGGGGCTTTGGGGAGAAAAAGGAAAAAATAAAATCTTTAAAAAAAAAAAAAAAAACAACAAATGCGATAAGAGTAATATGTTCTTTATTAAAGCACTAAGATCCAGCAGTACAAAATTATTGTAATTTTGACATAGTGATGAACACAAAAGATATTTTGAGATCTGCAGCAACTATAATGCCATATATGAAAGTAGCTGTGATTTCTGTTGGTGACAGTTGCAGGTGCTGCTGCTACTACTGTGGTTTGTTGCCTGTGTTCAAAACAGAAGAAAATGCTAAATGTCAATTTAGAGGTAGATGAAAATATTATGTGATTTTTATTCCCATCCAAGTTCATTGAATTCTTTCCATAGACCCTTGGGGAAGGGTCTCTGGACAGCAAGGTCAGAACCTCTGTTGTAGGGTGAGTGGATGGAGTGTTTTCCTGGTGGGGGCTGCTCCCAGATGCTAGAAGGTGGAGGATTTCACTCTGGGGTCTTAGCACTCACACAAGAAGACTTGGCTTTTATCAGACATTTTTTTCACTTCCTTTGGAGAACAGCCCTCTGTTTTTACCAGAATAACTTTCTGTTGGTGTTCTGGTGAGGGATGGGGCAGAGAGAATTTGTTGTAATAGTTTTGTCTGTTTTTATGTAGAAGTTTAATGCATCCCCATTTATAGCCCCATTTCCCACACTTTAACCTAAGCCCAACTTCCAGATTATAACTTGCTTTTTGTTTATCAAAAATTTACCAAGAATTTGTTGAACTCTTGTCAGTTACTGATGAATGTACTTCATATCCCCCTATACACTATTGTGGATCTATTAATTTCTGTACTTTTATTTCTGTGGAATCTCAGGAGGCCATACTAGTTCAATAAACCACTCTGAATCAAAAGCAAGAAAATCTTTTACTTAAAAAACAAAAAACTTTAATTAGACTCTTTTATAAAAGGGAAAAAAAGTTGTAATATCATGTTTGTATACTTTCTAAATTATATAGACACCAAAACAAACATCAAAGCAATGAGTTTATCGCTAGCTGCATGAAGGAAAGTATTTAAACAATCGTTTGTATTTTGTGTATTTTGGTGCCCTCTGAAAAGAATATCAATTAGAATCATCTCCAGTGTATAATAAAACGACCTAGTTGATGATTGTCCTGGTTTTATTAATGTTACCAAGTTATCTCTTCTTTTTTTTAAGATTTTATTTTTTTAACTTTTCCTTCTCCCCAAAGCCTCCCAGTACATAGATATATATTTTAGTTGTGGGTCCTTCTAGTTGTGGCATGTGGGACGCTGCCTCAGCGTGGCTTGATGAGCAGTGCCATGTCCGTGCCCAGGATCTGAACTGGCGAAACCCTGGGCCGCTGAAGTGGAGTGCACTAACTTAACCACTTGGTCATGGGGCCGGCCCCAAGTTAGCTCTTCATTTAATACAAATAAATCAAACGTTATTACTTAGAATAAAAGGGATCTGCTTCAGTGCTCTAGGCCTACATGTTCTGTACAAGGCGGGCACTTAATCACTCATTTGGACTCTTGTAATATTTTCATTCAGATACGCTGAGTAGGATCTCATCTCTGTGTGTTTAGCTAAGTTAAACTTTGGGGGAGCTATTTTGTATTGAATGATTTTTTTGGTTCTGCCTGTGCCGACTAAATAAAGTTAAAGGCCAAAACCAAGGTAAACAAAATAATGATCACAGGAATCTGCCAACATTTCATAAAGGACAAGGTAGTGTTCTTTTTGACTTTGTGAGCCATATAGTCTTTGTCACACTAAGCAGCCGTAGATAATACATGAATGAATGGGTATGACCGTGTTCTAGCAAAACTTTATTTACAAAAACAGGAGGCCAGGATGACATTTGCCACCCCGACCAGAAGTTATGTTTACAAGTTTGCTCTATGATATTAGTTGGGGAAAATGTGCCCTTTCTTGAGGAACTTGGTGGCCTGAAGATTGTGGGATTGGTTGGTGGTCTTGTCTGGTGTCATGCAGGTAAGGTGTACAGTGAGACCATTATCAGGTTAGGAAACTTTCTTGGCTTGTTTGGATTCTTCAAGCAGGGAGCACATTCATTTTCCAGGCCTACGACCAATCCTCTGGTGGTACAACTCCTAGCTTTGATGTTAACCATCAGAGGTAAACCATTGAATTGGACCACCTATATTTTATAGTAGGGATTCGTCTGTTTTGTTTTTTGTTTGTTTTGAGTTTGCTGCCTTTATCAGTTATGTGAAAGTAGATAAGAGACCAGGCCCGAAAGCATGCTCTGGAGCAGGATCACTGGCCAATTTAATCATAGATATGTCATCTCTTCCTGACATCAAAATAGGAGCCCTTTGACAGTTGGACATTTTTTTTTTAAATAAACTTTTTAATTGAAATGTAGCATACATACTAATTATAATTATGGACCTTGATACACCTGTGTCAACAAGTATAGACACCTATGTAACCAGTACTTGGACATTTTTATACACAGAGTGCTTTAAGTTGTCTGCTATGATCACCTCACGTGGCTCCAGGGTCAGCTGCCATACCTGGGTTCTGTTCCAGTGGGTGCCTGTGTTTGCAGCTGTCACCCTGGAGCAGCTCCTACAACAGAGTTAGAAAACAGTTTCTGAAAGTGAAGTTAACTTGTTTACAGAGAACAGGGCAATTCTTTCTTCCTTGTCATTGCTGCCACCTCCTCTGCCACCAGTGCTGTGAGTTATAGGAAAACGAATAGGCTTTGCTAGCTGTGATATATCTTAGTATAGTAGATTTTCTGCTGGACAATTACAGTTTATTTGCTCTTTTATCAGATGATGAGTTATTGTATTAAACTGTTTAAAAGTATAGTATAGTCGATGCAAAGGGAGAAATAAAATGTGAACTATAATACTGTAATTCCTTTGTATCAAATAATTAAGATTTGGAGGTTTAGTCTTAATTCAGTAAAGTACATAGTATACAAATCAGAATCTTCCCTCAAATTATGTTTAAGGATGAATATGTCATGCTGGCTCTTTTTTTAATTCTGGGAAATTTCAAATACATGAGATTGGAAAGAACAGTATATGAACCCCATGTGCCCATCACCCAACCTTAACAATGATTAATTCATGGCCAGTCTTTGTTTCTTCTTTATATGAGATTGTTTTATTGTTTTGACTCATACTAGGTTTTTATAATTGAAAATTTAATTTTTACTTAGTCTAGGCACTCAGGAAACTCTACAGCATCATCGAAGAATTTGCCACATAGAAAATCAAGAAGTAAAGACTATGATGTGTACAGTGATAATGATATCTGCAGTCAGGAATCAGAAGATAATTTTGCTAAAGAGCTTCAACAGTATATACAAGCTAAAGAAATGGCAAATGCTGCTCAATCCTTACCATTTCCTGAAGAATCTACGAAGAAAGAGGGAGTGAAGGATTCCCAAAAAGGTAAGGGTCAAACTATTTTATCATAGAAGGTTTATCTAGAGAAGCAATCACAGGTGCCCACACAGGGACTTGGGGGGAGTTTTTTTCCTGCATTGTATCTCATGATAACATCATGGTTTTCATGGATGTTTACACCAGATGTGAGCTTGCATGGCCTGAGACACCCCCGCATCCCCCTGCTGAGACCTGAATATTCAGTGTATAGGTGCTCAGTTTGCAGGAGGAGCCAAGAAAGCAGGGTGGGTATCAAAGACCATGACTGCTTTGAAAGGGAGAATGCTAAATCCCTGGCCTCTGCCTGTACGGAGGACCCAATATGCCTGTTTGTATTGCTGTTGTCTAAAGAGGAATTGACTTTATGTCAAGGTTGTTAGTGTGTCAGACTAAACTCAGAAATACATGCTTTTAGATTAGTAAAATGAAATTTAGCCATAGATATGAGGACAAATGACAATTGTAAATAAAATTCTTCATCCTCTCCTTTTTTATACTTGTCTCCCCCTCTTTAAATGTTTTTCTGTTTAAAATGGGTCTGTGGATGAATTTAATCTATATTAAATGTTTTCAGTGAAGAACCTGACAGTAATATATGAGGTCATTTTGAACATGTGAAGCTCTTACTATGATAGTGCTGTGGCCATTCCTAATTAGATCCATCATACTTGAACACTTCCAAAGGATTTGGCTTGTGGCTAGCAAGATGGATTTCGTTAATTATCTTGCTTTTGTTCTGATAGTAGCTTATATATTTTCACAAAGAATGAATTGGGGATCCAGAAAATATTGATTCTTTTTTTGGTCTCTTAATCACAGAGTTTCTAGAAAGACAGGTCAGCATCATACCGGTTTTCACTCACCAAGCGAAAGAGAACTTTTCTTGGATTATTATAGAATATACTTCTTAAGAACTGCCATTGTACTTGTACGTCATCTTTAAAGTTAACTTTCCTGGTTTTAGCTGTTAAACAAAAGAATAAAAACCTTAAAGCTGTTCGCAAGAATGGTAAACAGAAGAAAATGAAGCGAAAATGGCCTGGCACTGGAGACAAAGGACCAAATGCTTCATTGAAGGACAGTGGCTCACAAGAACAGGTACAAGACTGTATGCATGGAGGAGGACACCTGCGTGCTGTTGGAATTTTGTGTTACACCTCAGTGACAAGCCTTGTACAAGATGAGGGTTATCCGATGGTGGAAATCTCTTCTTCCCAGCAGTGGGCTCTCCATGTTCTTTCTTCTCCCTGTTGCAGCTGCCTTCCCTCTCACTCGCCAGCTGCCAGCACCCATTTTAAGCCTTAGTGTTGTGCCTGTTGCCTCTGAATACATGCAAACAGCCCCTTGATTTTTGAGTGTTGTATTGTCAATGACTATGGAAAAACAGAGGAAGCAGGAGAAGATTAATAGCCATGAGGACATTTCAAAGGCCACAGAATCTCACAAAGTTTCTACTGTTATGGTCCCTGATTTATTGCTTTTTGACTCCCTCTGGAAATTAAAAATGAGTATTTCTGAATATTGGCCTTACCAAACACCACCTACCCTCCTGGTATTTTGATTTTGCTTTGTAGAAGTTGTTCTTTCTTGGTCTGCACATCTAATAAGGATACAACAAAAAGTGACTACTCTGGACTCTGCTTTTCTGAGGGCCTCCAAACTGGATGGCAACCTTTTTTGTTAGGCTTGGTCCAGGAGGCAAGGGTTAAGGGTGGTAAAATATTAGAAGTACCAAATATTATAGATTGAAACATATTTATATAAAATGTTGCCCTGCCTCCATATTTAACAAATGAGGAATCTGAAGCCCTAGGGTTCAGGTAACTGCCCATGATCACACAGGCCAGGCCAGGGCTAGAACTTTGTTTCCTGATCACTGGTCAGTATTCCCTTTCATTTGGTTTATGTTGACTCAAATGATTATTCAACTGACAGCCCTTTTACATGAGGAACAAATTGTAAACTTATATGTTAGAATTTAATAACATAATCAAATAAAACCAAAGATATAGACCGACACATATTTATATGACATAATTTTGATGGTACTAAGTAGAAATTTGACATTGCAAAGCGGATCACCTAAATGTACATCTTTGCATGTACTGAATTCCTAAATCTATATTCAGAAATCTGGTATGCAGAAGTTGTAAGTTGTACCACAAGTTAACGCACCAAAAGTGATTTATGTTTCTAAAGAGCTAAATGTATTATGAAATTCCCCTTTTGTTTTTGTATAAAAGTTCCCTTTGTTTTTATACTTTTACTACCAACTTTGAGGGTGTTTTTCCAGTTTGGTTTGTTGATTTGAGCTGGTCAGTTTACTTAGCTCACACCAATGACCATCTCATTGAAATTAAAGATTACACTGCTTTGCATTCACCTTATGATTTCCAGTGTTGTCTCCATTGTTCTAAAGAGGCTTGTTCTTAGACTTTGCTTTTTATCACAAGTAGTAGCACTTTCATTTTTTAAATTTTTATTCATTTTTAAAGGGCAAAGTACAATAAAATATTCACATTGCACCAACACTAATGTTCAATGATGGAATGCTATTGAAACTGACAAAGCATTTGTTTTTCAACTGATAGAAAAGTCCGAATCTTACACACGAAGGCCAATTTAGAAGAGCCGCTTTTTAATGTTTTCAAGGTGGTTTAAAATAATTTTGTGCAGTGGAATAAAATATTTAATTTTCTGTTTCTTATATCTAGTTTTTTTGTTTTTGTTTTCAAAGGATGGTAAACCTAAAGAGAAGCAGCAGCAAGTGAGAATGAGCCAGGCGTTCATCAACCAACACACAGTGGAACGCAAGGGAAAACAAATTTGTAAATATTTTCTTGAAAGGAAATGTATTAAGGTATAAAAAAATGTGTAAGCAAAAATGTACTAAAATGTAAGGTGTGGCAAAAATGTACTAAAATGAGCTCCTGTTTCCATTAGATACTCTAAAAGCATACCTGTGTGTTTTTAAAACTGCTTCCTTCTGGGAAAGGTCCAATTAAAAAGTTTTACTGAAATACTCTTTTATGTTTAAGAAAGTGGATAATTTCTTTGAAATGCTTTTTGTTAAAAATGTTTAGGACTCAACAAAATTTTAAGCAGATATAATTATAAGATAGCTCATTAAGAATTAAATTGTGCTGGTTCTAAGGCTTTGTTTTTCTCTGGAGTCATTTGCTTATGGAAAGTTTTTTAGGAATTGTAATGACTTAACTATGAGAAATAATGGCTTTTCCTTCTTTCTTTTGGCCCAGGGAGACCAATGTAAATTTGATCATGATGCAGAAATAGAGAAGAAAAAGGAAATGTGTAAGTTTTATGTACAAGGATATTGTACCAGAGGTGAAAACTGTCTGTATTTGCATAATATCCTTTATCACAAGATATAGTAACTTTACGTTTCATAAATATTTACATAAAAATTTTAAATATGTAAAATTTTGAATGAAACCAGTGTTTTAGCTATGGCAAAATTATGTTATTCAAGCCTGACTCAGCCTCAAAGTGATTAAATTGTACACAGAACTTTTTCCCAAGAAAGAGAAGAGGGATTCTTTAGAAATTCTCTCAGTTGAAGATCCTTTCTACTCAACCTGGGTAGTAGCATAGAAGGTTCAAGAGGCCTAGTCAAGTCTCAGAACAACTTTGTCAGAATTTCTGCTGTGACATTTGATAATTGAATCTGTATTTATATAAGCTACTTCATAAAAAGAGGCAAGAATTGCATAATTTGGGAATACTTGTTTTCTGTGTATTCTGTGCCGTATAAAGGTTGTTGCTTAATTTGAAGAACAACTCAAACTCTTCAGTGCAAACAGCACAGATATGTTGTAAAAACATGGAACATAAACATTTTAGGGTAATAGCATGTCATCACAAAAGTTGTTTTCCTTCAGTCATTCAGTACAAGGAATCTCAAATTCTAACTTGAGAATTTATTTCTAAAAAACAATATTGAAGTTGTGTAAATTGATTCTGTTTTAAACAAGCCTAAATATGAAGGATCCAGATTTGTAAGACATATCATTGTCATTGGCTTTAATTCCTCTACCCCAAAAGAATGCTTTAAAAATAATCACACTTCAAAGTATTTAAAACACATCCCTTTCTTGTATCAGTGAAACATACATGTAGTCTATTATAAGAATGGATATAAAGGAAAAGGCATCCTGTGATAGCCAATACACTTGATGTATGTAATCATCCTAAAATTAGATTTTTCATGTTACCCAATTAATAATTATCATATTTTAAGTAAAAAAGTCCATGTTTCTACTGGTAGGAAAGGCCTTTACATAGGAAAAGGAAGTCATTAAATCAAGAACAGATTATTTTAGTTGGATTTAAAATTGTTCTTTTCCTTAACATTTGGGTTACATGAATATCCCTGCAAGTTTTACCATACAGGAGCAAAGTGTTATCAGGGAGAATATTGCAAGTTTTCACATGCTCCACTGACTGCTGAAACACAAGAACTGTTGGCTAAAGTAAGTACCATTTTAATTTTTTTCTTTTTTTAAAGAGTATGTGTGAACAAAGGGTGAGTGTTTGAAAAGATAACGGTTCTTTAAGGAGAATGCCTCATAGCTTAGCATATAGGATATATCAGGGCTAATAATGTAAGAATTTACTTCAGTTTAGAAGATTATTATTCATATGTATATTTTTCCTTGTAGCTTAACGGAAAATTTGTACTTATTGCTAGTATAAATTGGAATGGTCTTAAAACCTTCAGTGTAGTTAGCAACCTTAGTAGCTAAGCTAACCAAAGGAAAACAAAGCAAATAGGAAAAACTGCTCCTGTTATACCTTTAGAGGCAAAGTTAAGGATCATTGGTTGATAAATATTTTAGAGTTACATCAAAGTTTACTCAAATAGTTATTTCAAAGTTTTCTTTAAATATTCTTTCAGTCTGTGAGAAAAGGTAATTGAAAAATAATAGTTGTTTATGTTCTTTATTTTCCCATATGTTAGTTGGAGCTAGTCTCTTCAAAATTAAATTGAAATATAAGTGAAAATAAAAGATTTCTTTTAAAACCAAACTATACCATCTTATTGCAGAAGTTCCCTTGACCATGTGCTGCAAACATGAGGTCAGAGGTGCTTATTTCTGATATTTTTAGGTTGTAAAATATGAAGGGTTACCCTGGAATTAGAAGCCATACCAAATATTTGGCTGTTTAGTAGTATGAAATATATATGGAAAAAATGATATATGTAAAAGTGGTTTTCAGTTCCTTTTATAGTAAATATTGTTAGATGATTACTAGAATGAATATTATTGGAATTATTGAAAAGTTACAAGAGTATGCTGATGTACCTTCCTTAGATTTTAATGCATAAAAATGATTATGTGATTTGTTTTTCATATTAGGTTTTGGATACTGAAAAGAAGTCATCATGAAAATAAAATACATAAAAAAGGTAAAATTAGAATTTAGCACTTTTTCTTTTTTGAGGAAGACTAGCCCTGAGCTAACTACTTCCAATCCTCTTCTTTTTGCTGAGGAAGACTGGCCCTGAGCTAACATCTGTGCTCATCTTCCTCTACTTTATATGTGGGACGCCTACCACAGCATGGCATGCCAAGTGGTGCCTTGTCCGCACCTGGGATGCAAACCGGCGAACCCTGGGCCGCTGAAGTGGAACATGCGCACTTAACTGCTGCGCCACTGGGCTAGCCCCTAGCACATTTTTTTTCCCTGAAACATCTCTAGAAGTTGGCATGGAAACATAGGGCTTTTTCTAGTTTCTTCAACAGAAGTCTTTTTCTCTCTTCCCCCCTACTGAAAAAAATCCATGTGTATGGAATATCTTTCCATTTCTTTATGTCATCATCGATTTCTTTCATGGTGTCTTATAGTGTTCATTCTACAGGTCTTTCACCTCCTTGGTTAAATTTATTCCTAGATATTTTATTCTTTTTGTTGTGACTGTAAATGGGATTGTATTCGTGAGTTCTCTTTCTGTTAGTTTGTTATTAGAGTATAGAAAGGCAACTGATTTTTGTAAGTTGATTTTATACCCTGCAACTTTGCTGTAGTTGTTGATTATTTCTAATAGTTTTCTGATGGATTTTTTAGGGTTTTCTATATATAAAATAATGTTGTCTGTGAACAGCGAGAGTTTCACTTCTTCATTGCCTATTTGGATTCCTTTTATTTCTTTTTCTTGTCTAATTGCTCTGGCCAAAACTTCCAGTACTGTGTTGAGTAAGAGTGGACACCCTTGTCTTGCTCCTGTTCTCAGAGGGACTGCTTTTAGTTTTACCCCATTGAGTATGATGTTGGCTGTGGGTTTGTCATATATGGCCTTTATTCTGTTGAGGTACTTTCCTTCTATATCCATTTTATTGAGTTTTTATCATAAATGGATGTTGGTTCTTGTCAAATGCTTTCTCAGCATGTGTTGAGACGATCATGTGGCTTTTATTCCTCATTTTGTTACTGTGGTGTATCACATTGATTGATTTGCAGATGTTGAACCACTCCTGTGTCCCTGGTATAAATCCCATTTGATCATGGTGTATGATCCTTTTGATGTATTGGGGTATTCAGTTTGCCAATATTTTGTTGAGGATTTTCGCATCTATGTTCAGCAGCAATATTGGTCTATAATTTTCCCTCTTTGTGATGTCATTGTCTGGCTTTGGGATCAGGGTGATGTTAGCCTCATAAAAAGTGTTAGGAAATGTTCTGTCATCTTCAATTTTTTTGGAATAGTTTGATGAAGGAGAGGCATTAAATCTTCCTTGAATGTTTGGTAGAATTTTCCAGAGAAGCCATCTGGACCTGGACTTTTATTTTGGGGAGGTTTTTGAGTACTGTTTCAATCTCTTTACTTGTGATGGTCTCTTCAGATTATTTCCTCTTGGTTCAGTTTTGGGAGGTTATATGAGTCTAAGAATTTATGCATTTCTTCTAGATTGTCCAGTTTGTTGGCATATAGTTTTTCATAGTATTCTTTTATAATCCTTTGTATTTCTGTGGTATCTGTTGTAATGTCTCCTCTTTTCATCTCTGATTTTATTTATTTGAGCCTTCTTTTTATCTTATTGAGTCTGGCTAAGGGTTTGTCAGTTTTGTTTATCTTCCCAAAAAAACAGCTCTTAGTTTCATTGATCCTTTCTAATGCTTTTTGGTTTCAATTTCATTTATTTCTGCTCTTATCTTTATTATTTTCCTCCTCCTGCTGACTTTGGCCTTTGTTTGTTTATCTTTTTCTAGTTCTGTTAGGTTTAGTTTTAGGTTGCTTCTTTGAGATTTTTCTTGTTTGTTAAGGTGGGCTTGAATTGCTATGAATTTCCCTCTTAGGACTGCTTTTGCTGTATCCTATATGAGTTGGTATGGTGTATATTCATTTTCATTTGTCTCCAGATATTTTTTGATTTCTCCTTTAATTTCTTCAATGATCCATTGGTTGTTCAGTAGCATGTTTAGTCTACGCATTTGTCACTTTCCCAGCTTTTTTCTTATAGTTGATTTCCAATTTCATGGGATTATGATGAGAAAAGATGCTTGATATGATTTCAGTCTTAAATTTTTTGAGTCTTACCTTGTTTCCCAACATATGGTCTACCTTTGAGAATTTTCCATGTGTACTTGAGAAGAATGTGTATTCTGCTGATTTGGGATGGAGTTTTCTATATATATTGATTAAGTCCATCTGGTCTAGTTTTTTAATTTAGTTCCACTATTTCCTTGTTGACTTTCTGTCTGGTTGATTTATCTGTTGATGAAGGTGGGATGTTAAGGTCCCCTACTGTTACTGTGTTGCTGTTAATATCTCCTTTTAGCTCAATTAATAGTTGCTTTGTGTACTCTGGTGCTCCTGTATTAGGTACATATATATTTATTAAGTTTTATGTCCTTTTGATGGAATGTCCCTTTATCATTATATATTGTCCCTCTTTGTCTCTCATTGCCTTTTTTATCTTGTAGTCTACTTTATCTAATATAAGTATGGCAACACCTGCTTTCTTTATTTGCCATTAGCTTGGAGTATCATCTTCCATCTCTTCACTTTAAGCCTGTGTTTGTCTCTAGAGCTGAGATGTGTTTCCTGGAGGCAGCATGTTATTGGGTCTTGTTTTTTAATCCATCTAGCCACTCTGTATCTTTTGATGGGAGAATTCAATCCATTTACATTTAGAGTGATCATTGATATATGAGAGCTTAATGCTGCCCTTTTGTCACTTATTTTCTGGTTATTCTGTATTTCTCTTGTTTCTCATCCCATGTATTTCAGACTGCCAATTCAGTTTGATGGCTCTCTATGATGGTTTTCTCTTTATGTATCATTTGTGTCTCTGTTCTGATTTTTTCTTTAGTGGTTACCATGAGGTTTGTATAAAAGATCTTGTAGATGAGATACCTCATTTTCTTATCTTTTTTTATGAGGAAGATGAGCCCTCAGCTATCATCTGCCGCCAGTCCTCTTTTTGCTGAGGAAGATTGGCCCTGAGCTAACATCTGTGCCCTTATTCCTCTATTTTATATGTGGGACACCTGCCACAACATGGCTTGATAAGAGGTGCTAGGTCTGCACAGAATCCAAACTGGTGAACCCCTGGCCACTGAAGCAAAGCTCACAAACTTAACTGCTGCACCACCTGGTCAGCCCTGTTAGTCCATTTTCTGATAGCCTCTTGTCTCCTAGTGTCTAAGCTATCTTTCCTCTGCCCTGTCTAAGCTATTGTTGTCGCAACTTAATCTGTTTTGTCTGTGTTTGTGGTTAAAATGAAGTGATTATATTTATTCTTGATATCTTCCTTCCCTTTATCTTTAATGGTATAATTAAGTGTTTGCCAATCTGTTCTGATAGAGACTTGCAATGATGTTGTCTGTCTCTTTTTCTCCTTGCTCAAGGCTTTGTAAAAACCATTCTTTTTTTTTCAGGTATGAGAGTCTTATTGATTATATCTTGTAGGGGGTTCTTGCGGTGATAAACTCCCTCAGCTTTTGTTCATCTGGGAAAATTTTTATTTCTCCATCATTTCTGAAAGCTATTTTCACTGGATAGAGTATTATTGGCTGAAGGTTTTTGTCTTTCAGAATTTTGAATATATCATTCCACTCTCTCCTAGCCTGTAAGGTTTCTGCTGAGAAATCTGCTGAAAGCCTTATAGGGGTTCCTTTCTAGGTTATTTTCTTCTGTCTTGCTTCCCTTAATATTCTTTCTTTGTCATTGACTTTTGCCAGATTTACTAATATATGCCTTGGAGAAACTCTTTTTACGTTGATGTAATTAAGAGTTCTATTAGTTTCTCTCACTTGTAATTCCAGCTCCTTATCCTGGTTTGGGAAGTTCTCAGCTATTCTTTCTTTGTACCACCTCATTATCATTATTATTTCTTTGTAGAAAATCCTTTCTCCCTCTCTTTTCCCTCTAGAATACCTATAATCCGTATGTTGCATTTCCTAATTGAGTCAGAGATTTATTGGAGAATTTGTTCATTTCTGTTTAGTCTTAGTTCTCTCTTCTCCTCCAGCTGAAGCATTTCTATATTTCCAACCTTTAAATTGGTAGTTCTGTCCTTTATAATATCGGGTCTGTTATTTAAGGACTTCAGATTTTTCTTTATCTCATTCATTGTGTTTTTCATCTCCACCATTTCTGATTGGTTTTTCTTTGTAGTTTCAATCTCTTTTGTGAAGAATTACCTCTGTTCATTAATTTTGTTCCTGATTTCATTTAACTGTCTTTCTGAGTTCTCTTGTAACTCATTGAGTGTTTTTTTTTATGATAGCTACTTTGAATTCTCTGTCATTTAGTTTTTAGATTTCTGTGCCTTCAGGATTGATTTCTGGGTGTTTGTCTTCTTTCTCCTGGTCTGGATTATTAATATACTTCTTCATACTATTTGATGGGGTGGATTTATATCTTCACATGGTGATACTGTCTAGTTGCAGATTTCACCTGCTGCCACTGGGTGGGGTCAGGCAGGAGCCGTGTATTCTGAGCCTGCTGTGATCCTTGTCAGCTGTGCCTGTCCAAGCCTGGGCCACTCCTTGAGACCGCAGTGGCCCTGCAGGCTCTCCAACCGAATGGACAAGCGATCACATGGGGGCTCACGTCTGCTGCTGCCTGCTCTCCTGGTCCTCCCGAGATATGCTTCACCCTTCAGGGCCTCAGCGGTACTATAGGCATTCATGGCAGCCAGTAACTCGTTTGCCTGGGGGTGCAGATCCAGGTCCGTCTCCACCTGGGTGGCACCAGCTGTTGTGCTTGGTGGGTGGGACCTCCCTACTGGGTCAGAGCCAGAGCCACTCCCTGGGACTGCGGCAGTACTGTGGGCTCTTCCACTAGACAAGAAAGTGATCACACAGGGGCTCAGGGCTGCTGCCGCTTGCTTCTACAGTCCCGACAAGATGCATTCCCTGTTTGAGGGCTGCAGTGGTACTATTCGTGGGGGTGGGAACTCTTTCACCTGGGTGCACAGATCCACTGCTGTCTCCTCCTGTGTCATTGTGCTTGGTGGGCAGGGCCTCCTCACTGGGTTTGAACCTGTGCCACTCCCTGGGGACTGCAGTGGCACTGTGGGCTCTCCCACCAGACAAGAAAGCAGTCACGTTGGGGCTCAGGGCTGCTGTCACCTGTTCCTACACTCGTGCCGAGGCGTGTTCCCACCCTTGGGGCTGCAGCGGTGCTGTGGGTGCTCCAGCCAGGAGTGCAGTCACATGTGTGTACAGGGCTGCCACGGGGCTGGAGAGTGCTCACCTGTTTCTACCACCTCCCCAGAGGGTAGTCCATCCACCTCAGATGTATAGCTGCATGGGTCTCTCAGGTGTCCTGATGTGCTGTCTGGGTATCCTCTGCTGATCAATGAATGTCCCTTTAGTTGTAATTTAAAGGGGGAAAGACAAAAGGAACTGCTCGCTCTGCTGTGTTGCTGATGTTGCTGTCCTAAATTTTCTTTTTGTATATAGATATCCATTTGTTCCAATAGCGTTTTTTAAAAAGACTACCCTTTTCCCACTCTCCAGTTGTTGCATTGGCACCTTTGTCAAAAATCGGTTGACTATAAATCTAAGGATTCCTTGCTGGACTTTCAGCTGTGTTCTATTGATCTGTCTGTCTGCTCTTATATACTATCACATTGTTTTGATGACTATAACTTTATACTAACTTTTGAAGTAAGGAGGTATAAGCTATCCAGTTTTGTTCTTATTTTCAAAGATTATTTTGGCTGTTTTGTGTCTTTTGCTTTTCCATATACACTTTAGGATCAGCTTGTAAATTTCTGCAAAAGACCTTTTCTGGGATTTTGATAGAGATTGCATTGAATCTGTGGAGAAGTGGCATGTTAATGTGGAGTCTTCTGATGTACACACATGGAATGTTATCTCCATTTATTTAGATCTGTACGTTCTCTCAAAGAGTTTTATAGTTCTCAGTGTGCAAGTATACTGTTTACACTTCTTTTGTTAAATTTCTTCCTACATATTTTATTCTGTTTGATGCTGTTGTTGAATGGAATTGTTTTTTAAACTTTATTTTTGGATAATAGTATATAAAAATAGAATTTTGTATATTGATCTTGTTTCCTGAGACTTTGCTGAACTCATTTATTAGCTCTAGTGGGTTTCTTTGGTTATACATATGTGTGTGTGTGTATGTCTGTTCCTGAGGAATTTCTACGTATAGGATCATGTTATCTGAGAATAAAGACAGTTTCACTTCTTCCTTTCTAATCTGGATGACTTTTATTTCTTTTTCTTGGCCTGATTTCATTGGCTGGAACTTCCTATACAGTTTGTAATAGAAGTGAGAGCAGACATCATTGCCTGTTTCCTGATATCAGGCAAAAAGCATTCAGTTCTTCACTGTTGTGTATGATTTTAGCTGTACATTTTTCAAAGATACTTTGTAAGTTTGAACAAGTTCCCTTCTGTTCCTAGTTTACTGAGAACTTTTATCATGGATGAGTATTGGATTTTGTCAAATGCTTTTTCTGCATTGAGATGCTTATATCATTTTCCCCCTTATCCTATTAATATGACAAACTACATTAATACAACATACTGCTTAAACTAGTCTTGCATTCTTGAGATGAATCCCAGTTGGTCATGGTATATAATCTGTATGGTACATAATATTTGCATTTGGTTTGCTAATATTTTATTTTAAGGATTTTTATCTCTATTCATTGTGTATATTCATGTGTAGCTTTCTTTTCTTGTGATGTCATTTTCTAGCTTCAGAATCAGGGTAATACTGGCCTCCTAGAGTAAATTGGGAGGTTTTCCTTCTTTTGCTCTTCTCTGGAAGAGTTTTTCAAAAATTGCTATTATTTCTTTTTTAAGTTTTTGATGTTCACCAGTGAAGAGAACTGAGCGTAAGCTTTTCTTTAACAGAAGATTTTACAAACTGATTCAATTTCTTTCCTTTTTATAGTTTATTCAGATTTTCTTTTTTCTTGAATCAGTTTTGGTAATTCATATCTTTATTTTCTATTAAGTTTGCTGTTTCCTCTAAGTTGTCTACTTTGTTGGCATAAATTTGTTCATAGTATTGTTTTATACACTAATTCATATTTTTAAAGTTGATTTTTCTGAATTAGTAACCTTGCTCATCTTTCTATTAAATTTGATGATTTTAAATTTTTTCTGTAGACAGTTATCTGCAAATAATGATTTTTATTCCTTTTACAATTCTTATTTCTTTTTGTTTTTCTTGTCTTGTACTGCTGACTAGAACTTGTAGTACAATTTTTTAAAAATCAACTATATTGAATTAACATTACATTCAATAAATTGCATCTATTTTAAGTGTACAGTTCAGTGAGTTTTGACACATAGATACACCCATGTAATCACCACCACAGTAAGCATTCATCACTCTGAAATGTCGCCTCGTGACACTTCACGATCCATTCTTCCCCTCCTTCAGGTCCCAGGCAACCACTGGTATTCTTTCAGTAAGGATAGATTCATTTTGCCAGTTCTAGAATTTCATGTAAGTAGAATCCTATAACATGCATCATTTTGTTTTATGTCTTTTGCACAGCATAGTGGTTTCTTTCAAGTTTCAGATTTTGCAGCTATCAGTAGTGCATTTCTTTTTATTGCTGAATTGTATTCCTTTATATGGATATACTTCAGTTTAATATTTATGTACTCATCTGTTAATGGACATTGACTATTACAAATAAAGCTTCAGTGCACAGTTATGCTCAAGTGGCAGAACAATTTTTTTTTCCTTTTTCTCTCCAAAGTCCTCGGGTACGTAGTTGTATATTCTTCGTTATGGGTCCTTCTAGTTATGGCATGTGGGATGCTGCCTCAGCGTGGCTTGATGAGCAGTGCCATGTACGCGCCCAGGATTCGAACCAATGAAACACTGGACCGCCTGCAGCAGAGCGTGTGAACTTAACCTCTTGGCCACGGGGCCAGCCCCCAGCAATACAATTTTAAGTAAAAATAATAGTGCGCTTTATCCTAGATTTTAAAGGGACTGCTATTAATATTTCCTGACTGATTACAATGTGTGCTGTAATTTCTGGTAGATACTCTATTGGGTTAAGAAAATTCTCTTCAAATTGTAGTTTGATAAAAGTTATTGGGCTCTTTGTTTTATAATTGTGGATAGATGTAGAGGCTAGATTTAGAATTCTTTTTAGATAATCATAGAGTTTTTCTAATTACTCTGCTAATATGATGAATTTTATCTTTGGGTTTAAAGGTGTTAAGCTGCCATTGTGTTCCTGAGATAACTAAATTTTCCAGTTTAAATTAAAATTTTTCAAATGTTTTGGCATAATGTTCATGATATTCTCTTTTCTTCTTGATGTCTGGAGCATCTGAAGTTATATCTGTCCTTTTATTAATTATTTGTGCCTTCTGTTCTTCCTGGTCAGTTCGTCTGGAAGTTTGACCATTCTATTATCCTTTATAAAGAACCAAGTTTACTTTTGTTAATTCTATTTTATATTAGTTTTCCATTTCATTCATTTCTGTACTTTGTTATATCATTCCTTTTGTATTCTTTGGGCTTATTGTGCCCAGGGATTGATTGTTAGCTTTTTTCCTTTCCAAGACATGTCTAAACCTATAAATTTCTCTCAATCTACCATTTTACTTATATCTAGAAGTTTATTTCTTTCATTAAATACTTTTTATCAAGGTAATATATGCAGATAGTTTTAAAAGTCATGTGATTTTACAAGAATTAGCAACTTGTAAAAACAGCAAAGCAGTAGTCCTTCATTTCATGATTGTTTCTGTAGTTGCCAAAAAGGCTTCCTGCAAAATTCAGCACTTATTCCTTATTTAAAAATAAACACTAAAGGAAATAGGAGTGGATAGATACTGTTTTTGGTCATTTTTTTACTGTGGTAAAATACAGATAACATATTTACCATCTTAACTATTTTTAAGTGTACGATTCAGTAGTAGTAAGTATGTTCATATTGTTGTGCAAGCCTCACCACCATCCATCTACAGAACTCTTCATCTTGCAAAACTGAAACTCTATACCCATTAAACAACAACTACTCATTACACCCTTCCCCCAAGCCCTTGGCAGCCACCATTCTACTTTCTGTCTCTCTGATTTCGACAAGTGTGGGTACCTCAGATGAGTGAAATCATGCGGTATTTGTCTTTTTGTCACTGGCGTATTTCACTTAACATAATGTCCTCCAGGTTCATCCATGTTGTAGCATACGTCAGAATTTCCATCCTTTTTAAGGCTGAATCATATTCCATTGTGTGTATCTACCACGTTTTGCTTATCCGTTCATCTGCTGATGGTTACTTGGGTTGCTTCCATGTTTTAACTGTTGTGAATAATGCTCTTATGAACATGGGTGTACAAATACCTTTTTGAAACCCTGCTTTCAATTCTGAGTGTATACCCAGAAGTGGATTTCTGGATCATGTGGCAATTCTATTTTTAATTTTTTGAGGAACCACCATACTGTTTTCCACAGCAGCTGTACCATTATACATTCCCACCAATAGTGCACAGGGTTCCAGTTTCTCCACGTTTTCACTGACACTTGTTATTTTTTGTTTTTTTGATAGTGGCCATCCTAATGGGTGTGAGGTGGTATCTCATTAAGTTTTGATTTGCATTTCCCTAATGATTAGTGATGTTGAGCATCTTTTCATGTGCTTATTGACCATTTGTATATCTTTGGAGAAATACAAAGAACTGTTCAAGCCCTTTGCCCGTTTTTGAATTGGGTTATTTGGTTTTTATATTGCTGAGTTTTAAGAGTTCTGTGTGTATTCTGGATATTAATCACTTACGATTTATACGATTTGCAGCTATTCCCTCCCATTCTGTAGGTTGCTTTTTCACTCTGTTGATAGTGTCCTTTGATGCATGACATTTTTTAATTTTCATGAAGTCTGATTTGTCTATTTTTTCTTTTGCTGCCTATGCCTTTGGTGTCATAGTTATGAAATCCTTGCCAAATCCAGTGTTGGGAAGCTTTTATCCTCTGTTTTCTTCTAAGAGTTTTATAGTTTTAGCTCTTGCATTTGGGTCCTTGATTCATTTTGAGTTAATTTTTGTATATGATGTTAGGTAAGGCTCCAAATTCATTCTTATGCATGTGGACATCCATTTGTTGAAAAGTCTGTAGATTACCCATTGAATGGTTTTAGCACCCTTGTCAAAATTATTTGACCATATGTGTGGAGGTTTATTTCTGGGCTCTCTTTTCTGTTCCATTGGTCTGTATGTCTGTCTTTATGCGAATACTACGTTGTTTTGATTACTGTAGCTTTGTAGTAAATTTTGAAGTCAAGAAGCATGAGCCCTAACTTTGTTCTTTTTCAAGATTGTTTTGGCTATTTGGGGCCCCTTGAGATTCCATATGAATTTTAGGGTGGATTTTTCTCTTTCTACAAAAAATGTCATTGTGATTTTGATAGAGATTGAAAAGAAACTCTAGATTGCTTTGGGTCGTATTGACAAGAATGTTAAGTCTTCTAATTCATGAACGTAGGATGTCTTTCCATTTATTTATGTCTTCTTTAATCTCTTTTAATAATGTTTTATAGTTTTCATTGTACAAGTCTTTCACCTTCTTGGTTAATTCCTAAGACTTTTATTCTTTTTGAGGTATAGTAAATGGAACTTTCTTAATTTCCTTTTCAGATTGTTTATTCCTAGTATATAGAAATGCAACAGATTTTTGTGTGTTGACCCTACTACTTTGCTGAACTTATTTATTAGTTCTAACAGGTTTTTTTTGTGGAATCTTTAACGTTTTCTACAGATAAGATCATTGGATGGATGTTTTCTTAAAATGAAAACATATGTTATACCTTAGTAAGAAAGTCAGCATCATACTTAATGGGGAAACAGAGGCATTTCCACTAGAAGAGTTTATGTTCCAATGGGACTGTCTAGTTTCTAAAATTGAATAGAATTTCCCTCTGAAAACATCTGCATCTGGTCCCAGTTTCATTTAAGAATGTCCTTGGTGAAGCAGTAAAAATTATTAATGTTATTAAACCTCAATTCTTGAGTAGATCTCTTTTCAATGTTACATATAGCAAAATGGCAAGATGTATAAGTATTTCTATATACTGAAGTGGTGTTCTCTAGGAAAAGCACTTGTGCTGTTATCTCAGTTGCAAGCTGAATTAGCTGCATTTTTTCATGAATACTCTTACCTGAACAACTGAGGGGAAGACTGGTTTTTTCAGGTGAGACTGTTTGGCAGGCACTTTTTCATAAATGAACAGAGTGACCCTGTCACTTTAAGGAAAACAACTGAAAATATTCATTATCAATGATAAAATTCTAGCTTTGACAAGAAATTATAATTTTGGGACATTTGATCTACCTCTATGAGCTTTAAAGCTTTCCTATACTTAAAGTCTTTTTGGTGAGATGGGTTGGTGATATTAAAGAATGGTGATATTATTGAAGAATGTGGTTTTGGGGGCTGGCCCCTTGGCTGAAAGGTTAAGTTCGTACACTCTGCTTTGGTGGCCCAGTGTTTGCTGGTTTGGATCCTGGGTGCAGACCTACACACTGCTCATCAAGCCATGCTGTGGCGGAATCCCACGTAGAAGAACTAGAGTGACTTACAACTAGGATATACAACTATGTACTGGGGCTTTGGGGAGAAAAAAAAAAAAGAGGAAGATTGGCAACAGATCTTAGCTCAGGGCCAGTCTTCCTTACCAAAATGCATACCTTTAAAAAAAAAAAAAGGAATGTAATTTTTTTAAAATACTGTATAATGAAATGTTTGAAAGATCTGCATAAATTAGTAAGCTAATATTTTCCAAATAAACAATGCATGATGTTACAAAGTTATGCATGGGTAAAACACCCATCCAACCTATAATATAGACTAATGTGTTTTAATGTGACAGTACAGAAAGTTCCTTGATATGGTTTCAGATTCTACATTGTAACTGGAAATTTGCTTGCATTTGCTTTTAATATTCATTTGCCTGTCATTTTATTTTTAGCTTTTCTGAGTAAGTCTTAGGTTTGTTTCTTGTATGGAGGATACAGTTGGGTTTTGCTCTGTGAGCCAAACCAAAAGTCCTTTTCTTCTTTTGAAAAGTGAATTAAGCCTATTCACATTTATTGAGATGACTGAAGATGTGGTTTAGCTTCTGTCATTTTATATTATCATTAATGTTTATATTATGTTACATTTGTGTGTTTTCCTCTCTATGATGCATTTTCATTTTTGCTCTTTAATAAATTTTACTTTCTTCATCGCATTTTATTTTTAACTGATTTTTTTTTCTTCTTCTTCTTCATCTCCCCAAAGCTCCCCCAGCACATAAGCACGTAGTTGTATACTCTAGTTGTGAGTACCTCTGGTTGTGCTTTGCGGGATGCTGCCTCAGCATGGCTTGATGAGCAGTGCCATGGCTGCACCCAGGATCCGAACCAGCAAAACCCTGGGCCCCTAAGCAGAGCATGCAAACTTAACCACTCGTCCACAGGGCTGGCCCCTCTTCATCTGATTTTTATTCTTTTTGTTCTTTTCCCACTTTTGTCCAATATACCTTTATTAAGTTTCCATTTAAATCTGTTCTGTCTTGTAATATAGTCTTCATTTTGATATGATTTTTTTTTCTTGTATCATTTCTGAGATCAGTCAACTGTTGTTTCATTACTTCCATTTTTTTGTTCAGTTTTCATCTTAGTTTTTGAATTTCAGTTCAAGTTGTTTTTTCATATTCCTAAACAGGGATTTTTAATTCAGTTTGGGTTTTTTGTGTTACAGTTTTCTTCTGCATGTTTTTTTGGGGAGAGGGAGTTGGGGCTAAGTTGATCATTTTCAACAGCTGATGTGTTTTGTTTTCTGTTTTCTTCTATAGCTTTGTATAGTTGAAGAGTGCTTATGTCTATGGCTGTTCAAGACTGTTCAAGACTGTTGATTTGGAGTAGTTTATAAGAATTCTCATTTAAAGTGCCCACCTGTGTCATTGTGATGATGTGCAGCTTCTTTAATGGATGGTGCGGAGGGACAGAGTCTAGTGTATAAGTCAAGGGGTTGGTCTTCACCAAGATGTCCCAGCCATTGGAACAGGAGAGGAGCATAAATGGCAGAGAAGCTGGCTGGTGGGTAAATGTTTTGGTAGTAAATTGTGGAAGTCTCTTTTGATTGAGTTTTCTCAATAAAATAGGAAGCAAGGTTAGACTGAGTGAGCATGGATGAAGAGGTGTAGGGGATTTGAAGGCAGAAAACTGTTAGATTTCTTTAGGAAGATGTTGGAATAGTAGACGATGAATATACAGTTAGATCTTCTCGTGTCATTCAATACATTCACAACATATTTTTAATAATTGCTCACAGTTCTGTTTTATGGCTTAAATTATCATTCAATGATTTTTTAACCAATTTCCTGTCGTTGGACATTTACTATTATAAATAAAGTGGAACAATATCTCTTGTTATACCATTCATAAACTTGGAGTTCTTAACGTTTTTGTTGTTAAGATATAAGAATTGTTCTTTCTCATTGGTTCATAAAGTGTAGACAGATTATACACTTGTGTAAAATGTAAATGTTAGGAGTATGATGATGTCTTTAACATAATATTCAAATATGAAATTTGCCAAGTACAAATAATAAGATTCTAAATATGCACTTTTATATGCTGATGCTGAGTATTGTTAGAAAAATACCGTGAAACTGAAACTGTCATCATCATATTGTTTTATTACTGGGGAAAGTAATAGCATCATTGACTTGCAGTATACATAAAGCACACCGGAGTTAGTGACACTTCTTAGCAAAGTCCTATTTGAAACTAGGACTCAAAGTTGTTTTAGTTGTAACTTAATCGCTCTAAAGCAAGAAAGGGAATTGTGTATACTCCAAGCAGACCTAGGAAGGATGAAACCAGGATAGATCCTGGGCCCTTAGTGTCAGGAGTCTGTGAGCTGGGTGTGAGTCATCTCTCAGTGCCCCATTGCTGTCTGCTGGGTTGACTGGTTCACTCCCTGGCTGTGGCGGGGGAGGAGGGCAAGACAAGGCACTAGAAGCTGCCAGAGGAAGTCACAGAAGAGAGAGGCTGAGTTGACACTTTGAATGGGTCCATTACAAAAACCTTCAATAATTCAATGAAATTGTGCAAGGGAGTGCTTATATTATCTGAAGAATCAATACTTTGTATCTTCTTTAAAGATCACATACAATTTAAAGAAATTCAAGAGCTTGTCATAGCTCAGAAGTGTAGAAGGTAATTTTTATGGCAACATGTGTGTAGGCTCACATTGGCCAACACGTCAGTAAGCTAACATGAATGTACACTTACCATGCGCAAGCACTGTACTGTTTTATTTAATAATGTTTAACTTTCTTATTTAAGCCTCATAACCCTATGAGGTGAATAATGGGATCCATCGCATAGAAAAGGAATAAATAGGAACAGTTACAGTTTTTCTATTTTCATGAGCCTTGAAAAATACTTGCATTTAATCTTATGACAATTTAACAGTTTATTTCCTTATGATATTACCTCATGTATAGTTTAGTAATTATGAGGTATAAATGTTTATATATGAGGTTTATATGTAAGAAAAAATAATTCTTATATTCCAAGAAGCAATACTCGTCTCACCTGTAAACTTAACAGACCAAGCAGAGGTTTGAGGGACTGAGAAGTCAGAGAAGTTAAAGAAGCTCTTATTTTACAAAGGCGAGCATGTCTGTGTCAGTGAACTCTCTGAACTTGTTCTGTTAAATCAAGTGGAGGGAGAGACATATTCTTTTGGATGTGCCCATTGCACCTAAAGCAGCTGTGGATGTCTTATGTCTGGGTTATTATAGAGCCTTCTCATTGACCTCTTGCCTCCGTTTTCTTCTTTCTTCTCGACAGTTCACTCTTTTCCTCAGTTAGAACAGATTTCCCAGTGTACTGCTTCAGCCATGCCTCCACTGTGTAGTACCCTGAAGCAAGATCCATTTGTCCACCTGGTTTTAAGTGCTGTGTAGTCTGGCCATCTCAGTCATACCAAGCTTTAGTTCCTGCTGCCCTCTGCTCCTCTTTTTTCCTCCTGTGAAGTAAATCTCAGTGCTTTCTTGATGCAGCTCCAAGCAAGTACACATATAATAAAACCATTGGCGGTTAGAAAAATCTGGACCAAAGGAAATATAAGTAAGAAAGTTGTAATGGGAAGAGCTGTATATGGATTTACATATCACTTGGCCAGCATGGTTGTCATGGCTGTATTAAATTTATCTTTGATCTGTTTTGGAGCCATATCAAAAGCGATGAAGTGGTTATCTACTTACCTCTCATTATCAGAAAGAAGGTAGGGTGCAAAAACCTAACCTCTCCTGGTAATGATTTCATAAAAACAATTCTTATGTAGGTCTTCATTGTGGAAATCACTGAGTAGAATGGACAGAATTCTTATTTCTAAGATTCTCTGTGACAGATTTCATAGAACTTTTTTGTGGTCACTTACCAAAAGCCACATGACAGTAAAACCCAATTTTTGTCAGCTGGTAAGATATTCACATATGTGGTCTTTTGGTGTTTTGACTTGATCCTATTGTAGAACTTAAGGAATTCAGATGCACAGATGTTAAATGACTTGTCCCCTGTCTTAATAGGTTTCCTGACCTCCGTACAAGCTTCTTAGTTCACTGACTAGTTCTGATAAGCATAACCATTGAGGGGTTACATTCAAGGATTTCTTCTGAGCTGTTGTTTGTTGAGATCAAAATACTATTTGGTTTGGTGATCTGGCCTAAAGAATATGGGGTTCATATTGCCAGTTAGAAGCTCAAACACCACATTTGGGCTGTAGTGAGATCAGAATGTCTCAGGTTCAGGTTCAGCACCTGCTGAATGCTAGGGTCATATATATGAAATCCTTTTTAATACCTATTAGAATTCTATAATAGGGATTATTATAGTAATAGTAGTTGTTATTACTATTTACAGATGAGGAAACCAAGTCTGTAAGAAGGCATTACCTTCCCCGAGTCTCCATAGTTTGTATTCTTAGTTGTATACCGTCACGTATGTTTGCTCCTCTTCCTAGCAGAATCTCAGTTTTGTTTAGGTGTCCTTCCCTCCTCCATGACATCATCTGTGCTTTGTGGATGATGGGCCCTGTCCCCAACCCTTAGGGTTGTACCATCAAGGGTCTAAAGTTGTGGTTCTCAACCTTGGCTTCACATTGGAATCATTTGGGAAACCTAAAAAAAAAATGCTGATGCCTGAGACTGACTCCCAGAAATTACGATTTTTTTCTGGGTTGGAGTGGGAGCCCTGGGGTGTGGACATGAGATTTTCAGTAGCTCCCAGATGATTCTAAGGCAAAGCCAAGGGTGAAAACCATTCATCTCAACAACTAATGGAAATGCCATTCTTCTGGCCAGTCGTTGGTTTAGACTTAAAATATGAATACATGTCGTCTGGTGCACTTCTGGAAAAGTTAACATCTCTTGAGATACACAAAGAAGAGGCTGGACATTGCTGTGTCTAAATATGACACCCAGAACTGATGGAGCTATCGATGACCTCAAGGGGAGCTAGCTAGCCAGCTGAAGATGATAGAGAGGAAAGGTGGGGAGAAGCTGGGTCCTGGATAACAACTGAGCTATGGAATTCATGAACCTTAGAAAGGAGACATCCAACCTTCAGATTGCATGTTATACCACATGAAATAACATATTTTCTTTACATTTAAGCCGTTTTGGTTTGAGTTCTCTGTTACCTGCATCCAAAGGCAAGCTAATAAATGTGAGCCAAGAATCAAACTTACATGCATTTATCCAAAGTCCATATTTCTCCCAGGGTCTCCACCCCCCTCTTCACTGACTGCGTTCACTGTCTCAGCCCCTGCAGACAGGACACAGTAAGAAACAGGTGTAAGAAAGGAGGAGACTTGACAACAGGGAGGGCAGTTTTCACGACACCGAGCAGAAACTGGGAAGGAGCAGATATGTTTACAAGGCTGAAGAGGAAAGGAGGGAATGTATTTGTGGGTAGGGAGGGATAAGATGCCCAACTCACCTCAAAGTGGTGTTGATTCCTGTGAAATGTGTAAGACTGTTCACATTATTTTAAAATAAAGTTAAAAAAATGGCACTTTTTTGGTTAATATATGTCATTAATTTTGAGATACACATTTATTTTCATAGTTAACATCTCTGAAATTGGAATGTATTTTACAGTTGTTAGAATATCACATTTTAGTTGCCAGGTTATTTTTTTCTTGTTGGTACATAAAAAATGGTGGATCTTAAGTTAGTGATATATTTAGATTTGATTGAATGTAATTTTTAACTGAAATAATATATGTATATAGTCAAAAGCTTACTGTGAAATAAAATTTGTTATGAAATTTATTTTGGATTAATAAATTATGAAAACATAAAAAGGTTTTTTAATGAAAAAGAGTCATTCCCTGCCTCCCCCACCCTCTTTGTGGTAGGCAGAATTCTAAGATGGCTCCCAAGATTACTTGCCTCTGGTGTACGTGACCTGTATAAACTTCTCCCTTGAAGTGTGGGCATTACTGTGAGTGTGATTCATTTCACTCCCATGATTAACTTAGATTATATGTCAGAAGAAGCAGCTTTACCTTTAATATATTCAAAGTCTCAAATCAGTTGGTTTTGAATTCATCAAAAGGCAGATCTAGGTGGGCCTCAACTAATCAAATGAACACTTAAAAGAAACTAGGCCCTTCCTGAAGTCAAAGATTAGAAGAAGCATTAGAGAGGTTCTCCTACTGGCCTTGAAGAAGTAGGCTGCCATGTTGTGAGAGGGCCATGTGTCCAGAGCTAGAGAGCAACCCTCACATGACTTGGAAGAAATGGGAACTTTGGTCTGTCTTACACCCACAAGTTACTGAATTATGCCAACAACCTGAATGAACTTGGAAGAGGTGCTCCAGGCTTATTTTGTATGTTCTGACCCAGCCCTCAATTGGCCATTTCTCTAAGGAGCCCAGATTCCTTTACAATCCAAGATCTAGATGCTAGATGTGCTCATTGCTTTTGAGTCTGGTCAGATGAAGACAGGCCCTGAGGATGTAGTGTGAGCTGTCATACAGATCAAAAAGTGAGAGTTTCGGGGGAAGGGGGCTTTCGAGCAGTCCCAGATCTGTTCTGCCCTCTCTGGTGGCGGCCAGGGCACTGGTTCTCACAGTTACTGCTGTTGCGGGGCTGTTGATCTGCAAGGCTACCGTGAGCTGGGGAGGGGGAATGAGGTTAGGGCAAGCCATTGCCACAAGGCATTTTGCCAAGATTCAGCCGATTCTCTTGAGTAAATTCTCTTTGAATTGTTGTAAGCCTTTAATTTTCAGAATTCTGATAAAATTGATTTTGACTGTTTTTGCCAGTGTTCTCCCAAAAGTAGAAACTGGTTCACTTTTAACTACTGTTTGACATAATACCTTCTTTATTTCATATCTTCTCTTTAGAAATATTTCTTTATGACTGATATGAAGACTGAGTGTGTGCCATCTTCTAGTCATTTTATTTCAGAATCCCCCTTTCCTGCCTGCTCTCCAGGGACTCATCTTCCTGGCTGGATGCTCCTCATTCCTGAGTATTTAGGACCTTTACTCCTGCTCCAAATTTTTAAACTACCTTTTTTAGAAGTTCCACAGAAGTAGCCTTATTTACCATTCATATAAGTCTTAAATAAATATGAATTTTGTATCACAGCTGTATCCTAGACAAAAATATTTCAAATTTATTTGCCGAGATATGTTGTTTGGCAGGTATATTTGTTACATAATAATGTAAACTGAAAATTAATCTTGGACTTCCTGAACAAATTTGTGATTCAGCCCCATATCTGCTGACACACCAGCTCTTTTCAGCTTTCTGTATGCCTGCAGACTGCAAGCCAATTTAAACTTCCTTGTGTAGCTGAACTCAGTTAGGTGAACCCGGAATCAACAGAAATGCTCCTTTTTTCAGCCAAATGCACATAAAACAGTCATTTCAGTCCATGAAGAAGGAAAACCTGGACCCGGTGAATTCCTGATTGTCTCAGAGGCTGAATGCCTGTCCTTGTGCAGCTGTGAAGGGTTCTATGTTCTCCCCAAGCTGGGAAGATGATGTGAGCGGCCTCTCAGGAAACAGAAACCTGCCCAGCCTCCCCTGGGCCCTGCTGCTCTAGTCTGCCAGCATTTCTGCAGGGCTGTGTTCTTTGGGATGCGCCCTACAGCTAAATCTGTACCAGGAAGAGGAAAGAAGGGGAAAAATGACCTTAATTTTAGATAGGATGTGTAGGCCCTGCTGTCTGAGGGGCCAAAAGGCAGGACAGGGAGCAGGGGTGCCCTGCAGCAAATGGGGAGGCCTGGGAAATACTCAGCTGGGAAGATACTCCTGGTGCCCACGGCCTTTGTTCTGTTAAACCTGAATCTCCTCAGTGGTCTCCCTCTTGCTTCTGAGACGTCACCCTCACTTCCTCTGTTGTCAAGGAGCAGCATTAGTGTACATCAGGCAAGGGCACCAGTCACCCTGTACCCTATTTTGGGCTCAGCAGCCCTCACACCCCTTGTCTTCAATTGACGTCCCTGATATTCTGGAAGCAGCACAAGGGCCTTCAGTATCTGTCTTGTTCAAGGCTGTATTCCCTGAAAAGATCAGGCACATAGAAGGCCCTCACTCCATATTTATTAAATCATTAAAATATTAAAGGGGCACTGTTTTTTTTCCCCCAACCATATGAAAAATGGTGGACCGTTAGAGGGCCAGCCCCATGGCCTAGTGGTTAAGTTCAGTGCGCTTCACTTCGGCGGCCCGGGTTCGGTTCCCAGCTGTGGACCTACAATGCTATGCTGTGGTGGCGGCCCACCTACAAAATAGAGGAAGATTGGCACAGATGTTAGCTCAGGGCGAATCTTCTTTAAGCAAAAAGAGGAAGATTGGCAACAGATGTTAGCTCAGCCTGCCTCTTCCTCAGCAGAAAAAATTACAGTGGTGCATTAGGTGAACGAATTAAAAGGGTTTTGTTTTTTAAGGGTTTTTACCACCTTGAAGTGGTAGAAGCCAAACCATGAAACAACGCAGCTGGAGATGATGTGTCCTTCTGCTCAAGAAATTCAAGAATTCCCCAGACAAAGGCAGAAATGAAGGCGGGTGGCTGACAGAGAACATGTGCCATCAAGCACAGCCAGTGGTTTCCCTGTGCGTAAGCCTGGTACATCCATGCCTCCCTGTGTGTGACGTTCACATGCACATGTGAGGTGCTGTCTAAGGCCAGTTCCTCCTGAGCAAGCCATCCTCTCGTCTCATTTCCTAACTTGGGACTCGTAACTAGTACCAGTCACCAACTACCTAGTACGCGCCTCACATCACCACACACCAGTGGATCCAGACACCCATGGTGGAGACCACTGGTGGTTACTTGGGAGTTGCTGCCCATCAGTCAAAGACCACCAGAACCCACTTAAGAGTCAACAAAGTCAGGTTTATTTGCTGGAGCAAAAGAGAATGCATATCAGGAGCTTGGGGGACATCTCAACAGGAGGGAGTTGGGGAAAGAAAATGACAGAGTTTTTGAGACTAGAGTAAGTCATGGGATGGTCTTGGTAGGGGTGGGTCAGATTTTGTAAACTAGAGTTACTGGAAGAGTCAGTGGTCTTGTCTTTGTGAATGAGCAAGTGTTAGGAGTTTACGCTGAAATGATTTGTGACATTCATGGTCTGAATGGGTGCAGTTATGGGGTGTGAGTCCTAGAGCAGCCCATTTTGAAAAGTTGTGGTTTCTATTTTCAACGCTCAGTTCTCCCCCACAGCCTAGCTGGCAGCAGGGCAGTTTTTCACTCTCTCGAGGGGAAAGTGTGATGATTTCTCAGATGCGGGCAAGGCCCTGACCTCGAGAGAACTTCTGTGGAATTCCCGTGTGTTCCTCTTTGGACTCACTTCTGAGCTAGCGTATAAGTGTGTTCCCCTTCCATTTGTGTAAGAGGAAGAGGAAACGGGGGTTGCGTGTTCTGGTTCTTAGGGCAGAACCTGACTCTAATCTAGCAGGTTGATTCACCTGCTCTGTAAGGTCAGCTGATGTTAATGAAAGCAGGGGTTACCAGGGGAGTTTCAGTCAGCCCAGCTCGTTCACCAGAGAGGAGGGGCTTCCGTCGCTGTACTTTGGGAGCAGAAGCTGCCTCACCTGCTATTGCAGGAATATTGCGGGAGAGGAGGGAGAGGAGGGGAGGGGAAGAGAGGGCAAGGTGGGGTGGGAGCGGTGGGGGAGGGAGGAGGGGTGGAGAGGGAGCTTTTGATCCTGTGGACCCTGAGGGGAGAAGGGTTTTGGTTTTGTTTGCAGTCCTTGAGGCTAATCCAGGGTTGGAATTACGAGTCTGAATTCCTTCATCATCCCCGGAGTCAGTGACTCTCTTTATGAAATATGCTGATCGAATCCTTTGTTACAGCGTTTACTGCTGTATAAGGAGAATTGTCATTACTAGTTACAAAATTAGCCAACTTCTCTTTCAAAAAAAGAAAAAAAGCCACAATGTTTGAAAATCAGCCTCCTGAATGTCCCCAGTGTGACTCTGCACTCAGTGCAAAATAACCTTCTTCTCTGACTCTAAATTTAGTGGCAGTTACACTAATAAAGTGATCATCTTTGTCGCTTTTAAGTGATCCAAGATTATTGACAAAGGAAAGGATGGCTGGGCTGAGATGTGGACTTCTGAAGAGAAGTGTGCTTGGCAGCTGGTGGCTGTCCATGTTCCCCAGATGGAGAGGAGCTCTTCCTCAGCAAGGTGAGGTGACGGACCCTCAGCAGATGTTCTGGACAGGAGACTGCGATACAAGGTGTATGGTGTATTCATATCCGTTTCCTAGGGCTGCTGTACCAGAGGACCACAAACTGGGTGCCTTAAAACAACAGAAGTTGGTTCTCTCACAGTTCTGGAGGCTGGAAGTCTGAAATCAAGGTGTGGGCAGGGCCGCACTCCCTCTGAAGCCTCCAAGTGATTATCCCTCCGTGCCTCTTCCTAGCTGCTGGTGGTTATGGGGCAATCCTCGGCGATTCTTGGCTGGGAAAGCATAACTCCACCTCTGCCTCCGTTTTCTCTCCCTGTATGTGTGTCTGTGTCTGTTTTCTTGTAAGGATACCA